AAAAAAAAAAGAGCTGGAAAATGAAAACCCACCTAAAAGGTGGGAAAATAATTTCAACAAAAAGGTGGAAAATCTTCACGTGTGAGAGAAAGTGAGAAAAATTTCCATTTTTCCTATCAAACACTACAAAAGTTGGAAAATGGAAATGGAAAATGTTGCCCATCAAACAGGGCCTAATTGAAGTGTTCATGCTACGGAGGATATTTGCATATGAATGAGTAGATTACACGCAGATGCATTTGTGTGTGTATTTACATGTATGCCTATTTTGATTAATGAGTGCTTGAGTTTTGTCTTCTGATAACCATGGTTATTGGCTGAATGCTGATGTTGGAGTGATTTCAGTGAAAATTTTTATGGTTCTTTATGTGCTTTATAGAAGTTCTCAATGGATTAAGAGTTTTAAGTTTTGATCATCTAATGTACACGTGTGAAATATTATTTGATTCTAAAGTGACTACATATATCGAAGGGTCCATATAATTGCTATGCGCATGTTTTCTTTTTAAATTTTTTGTTTTATTTAATTGCATTTAATGCTGCGTGATAATAATTTGCGATGTTTCTGCTAACGTGTGTCCTTATTTATTACAAATTTGTTAACTAAACTGCCTGCTTGTAGTCAAACCAAAAAAACATGAATGGGGTGACCAGATTGTATCAAATGCTTAAATAAGTGACCCAGTAGTGACAAAATTAAGCTTAGTGATTTTGCCAAAAATTTGGTTGGGGCGCATGTTTTTGTTGCTACAAAAGCTGTATTGCCGACATTTTTTATAAGTTTTACTGTATTTGTTAATGTTTTAACTATTTTACCTTCTGTTGATTCTTCATTCATCTGGAGATATTTCCCTTTAACTATTGTTTTTGACCATGCATGTTCTTGTCCTCATTTTTTTTTTTTTTCATTTGAAATCTTTATATGATAATATACCTAACTACCTGAATTGATGCACTCATTTCAGGTGTTTTACATAACGGTGACATGAAAAATTAACCAGCTGAAATAAATCTCATCCTGTTGGTGATTTTGCAAGATGTCTAGCGGAGAAGGTAGGAAAGTGTCAGTTCAAGATATACAGCTGGTAAGTTTCCCAACTTCATCTATACATTTTGTTTATAAAGGCCCTTGTTTCTTTCTTTTATTAAATAGGACTCCTTTACCATTTGAGGAGGTTGGTGCTTTGAGGAGCACCTTCTCTTTAATTAACTATTTTGTGCACATATATTTTGAAGTGTCTCGACAAAAGAGAGCCTTTGGATGGCTGCATGACTTGCTTCATTCATTGATAATATAGGCGATAAGAAAGTAGAAGAAAGCTAAGGCTCTAAATGTACATAATCATATTGTGTTTTTCAAAATGGAAAATTATTTAGAAGTTTTCAATTTGAGCTTATAGATTTTTGAAAAAATGAGTTGTAAAATTTAATCGTCCACGATCTTTGAACTAAGGATGGTTTTTTCTTGTTAGGTTTATGTCATTGCATTTCTGGCAAGGTTGATTTAAAATCTTCCCAATGGAAGCAATAGTAGCTCCCCCTCTTTTTCGAATATTATTTTTAATTTTAAGTATCTGCTGTCATGGTGCTAACTGTGCTTTTCTATAATATCAGGTTCAAAATCTTATAGAAAGGTGTCTTCAGCTTTACATGAGCCAGAAGGAAGTCGTGAATACTCTCTTACTCCAGGCAAAAATCGAGACTGGTTTCACTGAACTTGGTAATGCGTCTTCTGTGTTTTGTTCTTTTAACGTAGTGATTTTTACTCCCACAACATATCAGATATAAGATGATTAACTTCATGCTACTAATTCAAGTTTTCTATGGAAACAATTGAATAGCTGCATACTCATCACTACCTTGTGCGTGTTGAATCCTGCACTTCTTTTAGTGAAAAATATGTAATTCTGACAGTGTGAGGCTTCAAATTTTGATCCAGAGTAATATTTGATATGGGCAATGGATTTATCCTAACCTAACTAAGTTCTTGACCTAGAGTACAACGAACAACAGCATTGAGAAAAGGAGGAGAAAAGGAGAGAAGAAAGAGAAGAAGAGGGAAAGAAAAGAGAATAATTTAGAGGGGGAGAATATAAATTTATTTCACAAAGTTTTGTACTAAAATGAATAAGCCACCTTTATATTGAGTCTAAGCAAACCTAATTTAAGAAGGAAACAAAGTAAAAAATAAATCCTAATTTAGTGAAACTAGACAACCTATCAAACAATAACATAATCCTAGTCAAACTAGGAAATGTTTCAGGATATGTGTCCTTGTTACAGAGGCCTCCTAGTATACCAATTATTTTCTGAATATATTATGAAGAAAACTTTAGAGGTCATATGTTTTTCGTGTTTGTTTTCATTTGAAGGGTTTAGCCTGCAGGTGCTTACTTTTTAGAGTTGGGGTAGTGACTTGGGACAAGATCATTCTTAGTGCTTGCTTGGCAGTGTTTTTAAGTTATTATAATCCTACAGAATGTGTAAGCTTTGCCAAAGTGCACTTAACGTTATGAACATGAAATCCTTGATTATTTTGTTTCTTCAAAGTTATTTGTGAACCCTGTTGTTATGTTCTTCTGTTAAATCAATAGAAGTTCTGGACGTATGTCAATTTTTAATTATGACCTGCTATTGGACGATAACAAATTCAAAGCATGCTATTTTTTTGTACGTCCACAATGGATTCGTGAGGCAGCATTTGACGGGGTACAACTGTTTGGCTTTTCTCCAATAAATAGTAGAGAAGAGATTTTTGTGATAATAAATGTCTATGGTGTAGAAGGAATCAGTGTATTTTGTTATTCCTGCCCTTGATATTTTTGTTTATATAAATCTGAACCGTCTTCCAGTGTGGCAAAAACTTGAAGCAGAAAATCCGGAATTTTTCAAGGCATATTATCTCAGGTTGATTGCGAAGGACCAGATATTGCAATTTAATCAATTACTTGATAGACAGATTCAGTTAATGCGCCAATTGTATCCAAGAGTAGTTGCTCCAATTCCTTTGTCCGATGGATCTCAGAATTATCCAAGTAAGCTAGCATTTTGATAGCTGGTTTTCTTTATTTGATGGTTATACCTTATATCAAAATGTCAACAGAGGGACACCCTTTTATCTGTACATCTGATTTTCTTTATATGTTGGCATTTTGGTTCCTACATAGATGGACCACTGTTTGATGATATACATATTTATGTTGGGATTTTTGACGTGCTCATCTAAAAGAAGTTTTCTATTCGTTTGGCGTAGATCTTTTCTTTCTATTTTCCTTGTGCTTTGCTGATTACTTTTCTAGGGGCTATACTTGTAGGGTTAAAGAATGTACCTCTCTTTTTTATTAGGGGCTGTAAATGGATTGATAAACTATTGTTCACTAATTAGCACTTTTGAGCATTAAAGTTGTCAGTAATATACTGCTGTGTTCCGAATAATCCTATATCTAAGTCAGCTTTATACGACTATGATAACAAAATTTAGGTGTTGTCCCCTTCAATTTAATAACATCGAGCCCGTTTGGCATGACTTTTGAGAAGTCAAAAAGAGTTTTTGAGATTCAAAAGTTGTTTTTGGACCCCGTTTAGCTAATTTTTTGAAAGTGTTTCTTTTAGGTCACAGCTTATAGAGGAAGGTGATCTATTCTGACTTCCTCTTAAAGTACTTTTGAAATAGGAAGTTCATTTATAAATTAGTTTTCAAACAAAAATTACGATAACTTCCTTAAAAAGCTTTTCTACAGGAAGTAAAAGCAAAAGTCATGCCAAATGAGCCTTTAAACACCGTGGAAGATTGTGATAAAGGAGTGAGTGGAGCTTTACATTACTTTCATGCTTCTTTTGATTCCTTGGAGCTATACTTGTAGGGTTAAAGAATGTACCTCTCTTTTTCATTAGGGGCTGTCAATGGATTGATAAACTATTGTTCACTAATTAGCACTTTTGAGCATTAAAGTTGTCAGTACTATACTGCTGTGTTCCGAATAATCCTATATCTAAGTCAGCTTTATACGACCATGATAACAAAATTTAGGTGTTGTCCCCTTCAATTTAATAACTTCGAGCCCGTTTGGCATGACTTTTGAGAAGTCAAAAAGAGTTTTTGAGACTCAAAAGTTGTTTTTGGACCCCGTTTAGCTAATTTTTTGAAGGTGTTTCTTTTAGTTCACAGCTTTTAGAGGAAGGTGATCTATTGTGACTTCCTCTTAAATTACTTTTGAAACAGGAAGTTCATTTATAAATTAGTTTTCAAACAAAAAATACGATGACTTCCTTAAAAAGCTTTTCTACAGGAAGCAAAAGCAAAAGTCATGCCAAATGAGCCTTTAAACACCGTGGAAGATTGTGATAAAGGAGTGA